TAAAAATTAATGATTCTTTCAATAGTTAAATCTACGCTAAGATCACATCAGTCGCAGAATCAGAGGAATAATTTTATTTGCTTTAAGAGACAAAACGATGTACAATGAGCAAAATAAAAAACGGACAGCCATCAAAAAACTTTTGTTCTAATGACGAATCTTCAATAAAGTATTTTAAAAATTCGTTTTCTCAGGTACTATTTGACCGATTTCACTCAAATTTTGTATTTTGTCATGTAAAATATATACTTTAAAATGTGGTAAAAAATGTATACCTTATAATTCAAAATTGTTTCGACTCATACTAAAATAGTGTAACGCTATTTCTCAAATCGCGGCAACCCATATTTTGAGGGTTATAAATCCGAATTCGTGGAAAAAAAAGGTATTTTTCTTCAGAGAAAGTACGTTTTTGTGCCTGATTTCGTAACTTAAAATATGGTCTGCACTAATTAGTTAGCATATTTGAGATTACCACCTCGAACCATTAAGAGAGTTCGAGAATGTGAAGATCCTATCATTAGATCAAAGGTTATTAAGGGAGGTCCATTTTACATTTTGTGCACTGTACATTTTTCAAAGCAAATTGAATGAGTTTTTATGCCCTAAGTTTTCTATTTCTCCACAGTTTCGAAACAAAATTAAATGCAAAGATTATAAATTTATTCAAACAGGAGACATTTATTGAATCAAAATCATTTTCAAGTTTAAAAAAAAAATTTTTTTTTTCCTATTTCGATGAGATGTTTCTTAATCAGAATGTCGCGATTTCGGTAAGTGCGTTGTTATCATACAGCATTTAAGGCAGATATGAAAAAATTAAAAAAGTCGTGAAATAAAGCTTTACAGCACTTTGACAAAACAAAGTTTAACTAGACAAAATCTATCATGAAGTTTTTTCACGAAAGTTGCCCAACAAAATTTAAGAAGATTTGTCTGCAACGAAACATTGCAACAAAAGCGCATGCTTTTAACAATATATATATAATTTTTTTTTTCTGTATGATTCAATTTTATGATTAAGCGTCCGCTTTTACGATAAACTATCTTGTGAAGTGTCCTTCTTCTCAGAATAAAATAACTCGCAAAGGGGTCTTAATTTACCGTAAATTATTTTGAAAAACATCCGTTTTTATGATTGAAAAAAATAAAACATTTATAAAGATTCGTAAACAAACCTAGTTATTTCTAAAGTGGCCCAAAGGTCGCTTAAAAGATATTTCATAAAGTACAATCACTCATAGATTTGTTTACAAAAAATGATTGAAATGAAGATATTACCTTGCACAAGCGAAAAGATCATTAAGTGATTAAAATTAAGTTTTTATCAATACATTCACGATAATCATAATAATGTGATAAAATTATGTTGTTGTTGTTAATTTGCGTCGCACTACAGCTGCACAATGGGCTATTGGCGACGGTCTGGGAAACATCCCGGAGGATGATCCGAAGAAAAGCCATCACAATTTTGATGCTCTGCGGAGGGGATGGCAACCCCGCTTCGGTAGCCCGACGACCTGCTCGCGAAGTCGAGCACTTTACGGTAGCACAGTTTAACGAGGACCAATACCGCACACCCTTGGTCCCTACGCAGACTGATCCAAATGGTCACCCACCCGCACACTGACCGCAGCCAGTGATGCTTGACTTCGGTGATCTGCTGGGAACCGAGTCTTAACGATCAGTCCACTGCGGGACGTGATAAAATTATGAAACATTATAAATATTTTAAGTAAAAAATACTTTTATTAATTTACAAAAACAGTAGTTATATTCAGGCGAAAAAATAAAAGGTACTAATGGTTAAAAAAAAAGTTATTGTCATAAAACAGTTCGGGGACCTTTTACTAAATTACTAAGACTAGAACAAAATATAAGTTCTCTTTTAGATAATTTAAAGTTTTATTTATAAACATTTAGGACGCTGTTAAAACTTTTCATACTCGTTACCCTTAAAAAAAGAAAAAAACCGCATATGCTACTTGCAACTAAAAATTTAAAACTTATTATGTTTCAGCTATAATTCACGGAACTCATAAAAAAATAGTATTCATTATAACGAAATTTACACAGCAGATAAATGCATGAAGTCGATGTTTCATATGAATATGCAAAGCAAAGACAAATCCCGTCGATATACACGTAAATTTTAAATCACATGTTCGCGTAAGTGATTAATTAAAAAGACAAATCATGAGATGCGGTATCTGCGTAAATGATTACCAAAATGAGTAACACAATTGTAACTGAGTCACTAGATTTTAAAGGTTAAGGATATTTATCAGTTAATCTAATCTAAATAGTGACTACACGGTTAAATATAACAACTCACTTTTCACAAGCATTAAAATTACCTTTAGAAAGGAAAATTTCAACAACAAAATGTTTGAGTGTATAATCAAACGATAGTGAGTTTGTCATGCTTTGTTTTTAATAATAAATGAAATTTATAATGCCAAAAAAACACAGGAAATTTAATTTTCTAAAAAAAAAAATTAACATTAATTCTCTATTCGACAAATGAAGTGTTGCGAATCAAAGACAGCACGCGAGGATTGGAAAAAATCTTATATCATCTCAATTAAAATGCAATTACAGTACACTCTCAATATCTCGAAAACCTTTTTATGTCAAAAAAAAAATATTTTTCCTCTTAGCTTTATATATCCACCTAATGTTAATTTGAATTCCTATATCGAAGAGTTTCTTCTCGAAACCTCGTTACGTCGAATATTTTTCGGAATAGAAAATGAATTTTTTCGAAAAAATTACAATGTACGTTTATTACAAACCAATTCTTTTCTATTTAATGATCATTTTTTACTTACTTTTAAAAATCATCATTGCTGTATTTAGACTTATAGTCAACTATCAATACATACATAATTATTATGTATAATAATTATTAAGTATTCTTATGGTTCAAAGCTATTTTAGAATAAATTTTTCTACTTTTTAGAACATATTTAGCTCTGAACTTGTTATCTCGAATTTTTTTAGCGTCCTATCAACTTTGAGATATCGAGAGTTTACTGTCTTAAACAATCTGAAAAGAATAAGAAAAATATTTGAGTGAAACTGCTTCGTCCCGTAAAAAACTGGCATTTTATAAAGCCAGTACCTCTTCGTGTTTTTCTTCTTAATTGTTAATAAGAATGAATTTTAACGAGGTACTATACATTAAACACCGAAATTATATGTAAACCATTACACGTATAAACAAACTAAGAACTTAAGAATTCGGTAATAATCACAATAAAAAACAACAACTTTAAAATTAGATTTATATTTATACTTAAAAATTCAAAATACACACTATCATTATGTACCGCATGCCGTCCGTCAATATCATTAAATTCGTTTATTTAATTAAATTCGGTTCGTTTATTCGTTTTATTGTATTATCCGTTGCCTACTAATGAAGCACGTTCGTAATGAAAGCGGAAACTTAAAAGAAATTCGTAAACAAATCTTAAAATTATGTTTGTTTTCAACTCAAAACAATTTTTCAAATAGGGAATTAAATCGGTTAAAACTAGACAATGGAAGAATAAATTTGATTGTTTAATATCAATTATTTGTTGGTATTTTCAGAATTAATAACTAGTTGAAGATAAAAAAAAATATTTTAAAACAAAACAACTTTTTAATCAGAGCAACGATGATTTGTAATTATATTATACAATTTATAATAAATGCAAGTATTAAACACGTAACTTTTATTCAATGCCAGCAAGCCTTTAAACGATTCGTGTAGCAAGTAAACAACCAATAGGAATGAAAATAATAAAGAATTATGATAATTTAGGCGGATAGTAATTAAAAAATTTTTATCTCAGAAATTAATCGTAAAATTTACAAGATAAAACGAATAAATTATATTAAATTAACTTCTGATTTCTGGAAAATAAAAAGAATTAACTACGCAAGAATTCTTCGGTTAGAATTTTTATAAAACGATTTTTCGTGTAAAAATTAAAATTCTACAAACAAGTTACTAATTGGAAAAAAGCATAGGTAAAAATTTCCTAATGATGAAAATATAATTTCACTTATAACTAAGAACTCTAAACTTGCAGCATCTAACAATTTCAATTACATTGTTCGTGGAGCAGCTAAAATTTGAAGTAACTGCCAATTTTATAATAAATAGATATAAAATTCAGTAAGAATTTAAACGAAATATTTTTTTCGAACTATCTTGCACTTTTTGTGCTTACATTATTATCACTTGAACTATAATTTTCTTCCACATGCATATTGTACTTTTTCTGTCAAATGAATTTACAGGAGACCTACAAATACAATTCAAATTCCGCCTTTGCATTGTTAGATTTAAAAAAAATTTACTGTAGTTGAAATATATAATCTCACATAATTGTCAATATATTTCAAATTAATTGCACAAAAGGAAGAAAGAAAATTAGCAATAAAAAAATAAGCGTATACAGAATCTGAACTCCTTACTAGTTTGCATGAACGGGAACAATAGCTGAAAATTAAACTAAAAACACTAAATTTGTCTCCTAAATCTTTCAGATTTAAAATTTCGCTACACTAAAATAATTATCAATCCATAAAATGAAAGTTTTTTTTTTGTAACTTTAAAAAATTCAAATTTTTTTTTTATTCATAGCTATCACCTCTGGAAATCAACTAAATTCAAGTAGTATAAACATATTTAAATAAACGTTTATTTTTGAAATATAATTGAAATTTCGAACCGATACATAAAACCTGTGTTTCCGAAATTATTCTAACAGTTAACGAAAACATAATATTTAAACATTTATAAATCGTTATTCTTTAAAATATAATGAAAATTTCAAACCTTTTATAAAAAAATAAAATAAGTGTTTCTGAAAATATCCTAACAGTTAACGAAAACATAATATTTAGACATCGATAAATCTTAATATGTATTGGAAATTTCGATCAAATAAAAAAAATGTACTTCCGAAAATATTTATACAATGAATTTAAACGTGACCACTCACCCATGCAATGCAGATAAGTTTTAATCCGAAACGGGGTATCCAATGAGGGAAGAGAAAAAAAGAAATCTTCGTCTTTTTTTTTACGAAAAGAAAGAGTGCATCTTCCCGACAAGAGAGACACACGCCAACCACGCCAGAGAAACTAATGCACTGACTCCTTCGTCTTCTGGATGCTTGGAGCAAAATGATTTACCTCCATCGCCGCTAGCTCTAACAACCCAAACTTGGCGATGTATTTACTTCGCCAAAGATCCGTCAGATAGTTTCTGTTTTGCTTTTTTTGCAGTAAAACTTTTTGAATGTTCTTGTTGTAGTAAAGAGTGGAATTTCGAATTTCTCCCTCCCCCACTTCGAGCTTGTAAAAGACGAACCGTTTTTAATTTTTTATTCTTTCGAGCAAAATTTTTAAATCGTTTCAACTTCACATTATGGTCTACGAACTGCGAATGTTAAGTAGTTTTGAATAGAAATCTTATTCTCTTGACTTAAATAGCCAATTCGCGATAAAAAAAAATCTTAAAAAAAGTATAAAGAATAATTTTTTTAGCCTGAAGTCTCATTGTTCTAATCTTTGTATTCTAAATTATGGCCATTTTAAGCATTTAGTGATGACAATTTCCCTAATTTTATCATGACACAGTATTCGATTATCTATTGTTATTCAACTTTGGTTATTTAGCACTGTCTAATTATGCTTTTACAGTGCCTTTTTTCTAATGGTTATAGTGGATGAAAATAATCCGTTCTTCTCAGATGCCAGGGCTATGGAGATAAATTTAACTATGGGAGAGCGCACTGACAAATATTATTATTTTTATTACACAGGTATTATTTATTATCTTCTGGAAAAAACTAAAAACCACGTGATTTAACTGTATTCCTAATAAAATTCTCATGATGGTAATAATATGTAATAATAATGAAAAATGTGTAAATGTCACAATTTTCCTTATTTGAGATTTTAAAAATATTAGCTAAAACATCAACTCCTAAAAAAATTATTATTTTGACCTCACGATAAAGCCTTAAAATTTTTTGGTCTAATTATTCATCACATTGGATAAAAATTCAAATTTATGATTGTAGATAATAATATTATGAATTCGTAGTAACTATTGTGCTAAAGAATAAAATATAAAATAAATTCTTGTATTTATTTAGAACTACACTACAAAGATGATATTTTCTTTCAAAGATGAATCCACTACAAAGATGATATTTTCTTTTTCTAAATACAAAGAGTTATTATTTTATACGCTTCTTATTTATTTTTTCCATCTTTTTTTAAATCTTTTAATAGAAAAAAATGTGTTCGAAACTTTTGGAGCAGATTATGTTAAATTATGTAACAAGTGAGTTTGGTCGGAAAATGTTTTATTTATTTTCATTTACTTCTTTTAAAATTTAATACAACCGAATATGTTGATTTAAATTCTGTTTTTAAGGTTATAAAATAAAATAAAATCATTCATCATAATATTAAAAAAATATTAATACTTGAAATATGTTACTCTAATAAATGTCGTAATGCAGTGACAATTTTAAAACATAAATTTTTCATATTTCAAACAGATAAAAAATTTACTTTTTCCTATTTTAATATTTTTCATAATGGATTTTGAAAGCGAAATTAATAAAAACGATGGATTATAAGGTTCCATAAATTTTGACAAAATTATTTTTATCGCCAAATATTGCATAAAGAGATCTTTTTCATGAATGAATTGTAATGCGGAAAGAAAATCTGCTGCAGGTTTTGTACGTCAAGTATTCCCCTCAGCTTCTAAGAATTTGCTTTCTTTTATCAGCTATCTATTGCTGTAGGTCCTGGTTGCTATCCCCATAGATATTTTCCAATTTCTAAGAATTTGTTAGCTAGTTTGCCTTTTATCAGAGCCCTTTTATTCAATTATTTCATGATTTCTATTCATGAAATATCAAGTACTTTATTAGTTCTAAGCAAGAATCTTTCATATGAATTGAATCCATACAACATTTCATCTTTTCGTCAGGCAGGTGTGCACTGACTTGACAAGAGAATGGTTATTTCTTATTTTTCTCCCCTAATAAGATCGCATTTTCTAAGAAATCAATCAATTTGTCTCGTTACTCATTTTCAGGTGCCCTAAACTGACAGTTGCTGTTCCTAATAATGAGTGCATGATACAGTTACTTGTGTAGAACATTTTAAAGGATGATAAATATCAACAAAAGTAGAAATCAGTAAAAATTGTATTAGATTATTATATTACACCAGCGGGTTTGCCCCCTGTTCGCTAACACTCCTCAATCCCTAAAGTTTTTCTTTGCAATCTTATAACGTTTGCGTTGTAAACCACGCTCGCACATTTGAATTGTGTTCTAGCATAAAATCTTTAAAATCTAAATCAACTATTAAGATTTTAAAACTAATTCCTCTCTCAAAAACTAAATTTTTAATCAATAAAAAGTTTTAAATTGAAATAACTAACACGCAATAGAAAAACTTGCAGAAAAAAAACCTATAATCACGCTTTTATAAAACAACATGTATGACGACTCGTCTCCTACGCATTCTCTAAATATTGCGTCTTTCATGAATGTAATCCATGTTTTCGAGCAAGCTCATTTTTTATTATACTTAAGAAGTGTAACAGCATGACGAGTACTCATTTTTCAATGAATAACAATAACATTGAATAAAATTATCATTATTGAACATGCAGAAGTATAATTAAAACTTAATATTGAACACTGATATGAACTATTCGCTCTTTTAACCTTCCAATTCTTCTAAGCGTATGGCTCACTTGGTTTCAGCTTTTTGTTGTCCATATGAAAAGAGAATTTTCATCCGGAAATTTATAAACTCCGCTTACGCTTTCATGCTTATGATAGCTCACACGCATGATATTTCACTTCGTTGTGTAACCATCGCAGAAAAGAAATGATAATTTTTTCGTCGCGGTGAAAGAGAAATATTAATAGAGAATGTTAAAATATTAATAAATTGTAGATATCATAACACATAAAAAAATGTTTTCAATTTCAAAATAATAAAATTTCAAACAAAAATACTTAATGATACGACTTAATAAATGTTTGTTATTACAGAACAAACAGTTTGTTAAATAATAAACAGTTTGGTATTGCATAAAATCCGTACGGGAGGCATAGAACACTTCGATTACAGTGAGCATAATTTTATGAAAAGTCTCAGATGAACGGATGTCTTAAATAACTGGAAAACAAAAATAATTATTTTGCTGCAATACCATTAAATTCTATGAACGTCATAAGCTCACAGATTTTTAATGGAACATTCTACTCTCGTGTAGAGAGAGAGTAACGACTGGTGAATACTGGGAATATTACTAATATAGCAAGTTTTAACAAGAACTTCCAATACCAGATTAATCCGAACTAATTACATTCCTGTTAACTTAAACCACATGTTTACGAAATAAGAAACGGATTATCCAGATCTGAGAGTTTCAACACATTACGCTTTCTTTTTTTAAACTTAATTTGCGAATTTTAAATTTATGAACATGAACAATCTTATTAATATGCATGCGTTAAATTTATAATGTGTATAAATGCATTTAAATATATAACGGTTATAAAATAAATTACCAATATTTCTATCTGAATAAAAGCAGTAAACGTTTTGAAGAATTTTAATGTTTTTTTTTTTTATCAGAATATTGATTAATAAAAACTTCAATTTTCAGTACTTCAATTTACTTAATATTTATCACCGTCTATGTAGTTTAGACGTAAAATTTTTGTGTGTGCAGATTTTGACGAATTGAATCAATGAGTTTGAAAACCTGTCATCCCCAACAAATCTTATTTTACAAGAGAGACGAAAAACTAAGGATACTATACCAAGTAGGTTGGACATGAATTATTTTATTCTAGCTGTGTATCTATGTTAGCTCTCGTTCGTAAGAACGGAAGTTCAAATCCAGCCGGCCGAACATTCCCCGTGTAGTAAATGGTGACTGGTGCACAATAAATATGTCGGGTCACAAAGTCCTTCATGTTCCCATAACAAATTATACCTATAGGGGTACTGAATTGGAGATGGATCATTCGCTAGTTCAGGTCAAAATTAGGATCTGTGGACGAATGAATGGGTCCACCCTATAAACGGGTGTGACGTATGGGTGTGCAGAAGTCAAATTCTTTGCCATAGGTGGCGCAACTGGAAAACGAGAATAATCGCACCCCTTGCCTTAATATCCCACGACAACAACAACAACAGTATCTATGTCTTCTAAATTTAAAAATGGTAGAAACTCAATTTTGAAAAGAAAAAGTGGAGATGACTAATTTTCGGACTCATTGATTCAATTAAATAAAAAACTTGCTATGAGCTATTTTTCGTTTACTGTGTCATCTTTTAAAGAAAATGAAAGAAGTTCTTTCTGCCGCGAAATCGCTTAAATAATGCAATAACTGTTTAAATTTATGTAAATCGGTAGAAAGTTGAATAAGTGATTGAGTCTTAGCTTGCTGTTAGCGAAGAATTTCAATAAGAAGTTTAACGTTGTCAAACATATGTTCTTTTGTGTTTTCCTTGCTTAAAAGAGTTTGTTTTATTAATAGTTTTATTTACAGTTGAAAACGTGAGGAATAATATTTGATAATAATATTTTACTTAGAAAAATAAAACCTTTCGTTTTTAATAATTACAGTCATTATGTGGAATAAAAATAAAGATAAATAAATTTATTTGTTATTTTACTATTTAAAAAAAATAATTAAATTTATTATGTAAAGTGAAAATGAAGGTAAATAAAATTATTAACTTCATTAAGATAAAACTTATTTAATTTCCTCAAAAAAATTCCATAATAAAAATTCTTATGAAGTTCTAAAAATGTGAAATTATAATAAACTTCCACGGAAATGAGAGTATAATAAACGAAAAACATATCATAAAAATAAATAAATAAAACTATTTAGACTTTTGCTTTGACGACTTTCGTATGTTAACACAACTTCATTTTATCAAAATAAATTTTCTTAAAAACAATTTTGACTTTTTCAGTTATGTAAATTTCCTCAATTAAAAATAATAATAGACCCCTGGAACATTTAACTTAGACGTATGATATTTCATAAATATAAATATAAATTAATTTGAAGTAAAACATCTTAATTTTATCAAAATAAATTCCTCAGAAATAATTCTGTTTCGTAGTGATTAGAGTAGTAGTAGTAGTTAATTTACGTCGCACTAGAGCTGCACAAT